CTCTCCTCTCCCATCCCGCACATGCGATACTGCCATGTCAGCTTCCTCGCGTCTCTTCCCGACCGTAGGGATTGGATCCCCAATTCTGCCCTCACGGCTGCATTACTTGTGCGCCTGGAGCATCCTAGGATGGTTTTCGCTGCTTTCATCTGCGCCGCCTCGAGTTCTTTCACTACCTTCTTATTTCCTTCCCATACTTCTCCGGCGTACTCTAGCGGGGGGGCGGGGGGGGGGGTGATATCTCCCGTATCACCTACGGTAATTTTGCCTTGCACGCGGCGCGGCTGGTTGTCCACGTGCGGAATTAGCACCTACTTCAACACAACAGCAGATAACCACGGTGCCCTGATTTCACATCAAGCGGTGGTGTGTGGATTAGGATTAGGGCTAGGATTCGAACTGACAACATAAAAGTCGTACAGTCGCCTCCACCGGCTCGCTTCCCCGCTGTCGTGACCACCTCCTATTAGTACAGCCTCACTCTACAGAAGCCGAAATCAAACTATTCCCGTTACGTTAGCCTACCGCAATAGCTGGAGAGGTGGCACCGGGGTGCAACAAAACAGCCGAGAAAACAACATTAATTCGATTTACGCACCAGGGTCGGTGAGATCGACCCCCAAGTCCAAGTTCGAACTCCTTTTCAGCTGCCGGAAATGAGGTACATGTACTTACCTTCTACACGCGGGGACGGAGTCAGCGGAGCGCCACCTCTTTGCGCACGATTGGATGGCCGCGGTTCACGCGGGATGCCAGTTGCTTTCATATTTTTGTTGGTATGGAAGTTGCCAACCGTACACTCAACCAAACACACAACGTACAAGCCTCACCCTACCCCAACTTACACAACCCGAAGCTCTTGTGCTTCTGCGCACGTACTGGTATCCGTAGAAGGGAGGCCGAAACGAAAGCGGGAAACCGTTGATACCGTACCGTGTACTGGTACCACCTCAGATGCGCTATTTCACCGCCTTTGTCGGGGTATGTTGTACGTGCATTTCGCCGCCTTTTTTCCGGCTCAGATATGCGTGTGTGTGCAGAAGACCGTGTGCGTGCGTGGGTACCTACACTGATAGCAATCAATACTATATGGCAATGGTCGGAGATATGGCACCGGGTTGCAACAACCGCTGTTTGTATATATTTCATCGGGGATCGCACCGGTCGGAGCGATCGCACGTGAGTGCCTTGAAAATTCTAAACGAAATGATTTAATTGCATTTCCGCACCGAGGACACCGGTCGGAGAGATGACACCGGTCGGAGAGATGGCACTGGGGTGCGATAAAAAAAAAAACTAGGAAAAAACATTTGAAGAAATGATCGCACCCGGTGCCAACTCGCCGACTCTTACGGTAGTCAGCACACCAACCGCCTCGCCGTTCGGTCTCTCGCAGGTGTCGCCCATGGAGTTGATGTTTGCGGGTCATAGAAGAGTTGTCGTAAGCGGCGCCACTCGCACCACGGCCGCCGAGCAGGCGTTGTTTGAAGGGGACGAAGAGGGAAGAAGTCTCGCCACCCTGGTGCTGGACTGCCTCAAGCGGTGAGCATTGTTTGCGTTTTGTCACAGCGGTGCGTTAGAAACACGATGGTGATCACATTATCCGATGTCGTGTGTTGGAGGCCTCACGCAATGTCTCGCCGTCGAGATGATCAATTTTTCCAGTGCACAGCAGCAGTGATGATTTCCTTCTTGGAAATCGTGACAAGGCAGTGTTGACCGCTGACTTGTTTTCGGCGTACACGCGGTTCTCATTGCCAAATGCCGAGCTTGTGAAGTTGGCCGGGGGGGTACGGTACCTTGCGCAGCATCCGGCGGCGTTGGCAAGAAGTTGCGATACCTTGTGCACCACGGCCGGTGGTGCTTTTACCCTGCTGGGGGGGCACTGGGTTATATTGGCTGTCCCTGGAGGCATCGACCCACAAGCGCAAAGCAATTGGTTGCACCAATCATGTAGGTTATGTCTCGAAACAATTCCAGCAGTACGCGGGGTACACCCATTCAGTCCAGCCGGCACATGTGGCCAAGAAGAGCTTTGCAGGCCGCTTCCTCGCGTTTTGGACTCACTCTCCGTCAACCCCGCGGCCTGCCCCTGATCTTGCCATCAATGTGTATGATCTTCGTCCTTCCTCTCTCCCTCGCTCAGTCTCTCTCTCACACACACCCTCTCTCTTCAATCTCGCCGAAAAACAACCAGGTGTCCAAGGGACTGCCGTAGAGCTCTCGTGCAGAACGTGCTTGTGGCGGGCGGCGGGGCGCTTCTCCCGGGCCTGCCCGCTCGCCTCGCCCAAGAAATCGAAGCTCTCGCCACCGCCGCCGCCGCGCAGCCGCTGGGAAGCTCCGAGGGGTACTCGTGGGCGCGCGCCGCAGTCTGCGGTGACCCCGGAGGCTTGTGTGTGGTGAGGGTGCCCGTGCGGCGAGATAACCTGGTCTGGACGGGGGCGTCCATCATGGCTTCGCTTGGGGGCATCGCGGACAGGAGTCTTACGTGCGAGCAGTACCTCGCGCGGCGGGGCGAAGGGGGGGGGGGGGTCGTTGCCGGACTGGATGTCGGTTTCGTCCGCGGATTGGCTGTTCGAGGGGGGGGGTGCTGCCGCGGCCGCTGTACACAGCAGCAGGGTTTCCGCTTAGTTCGTGTGTTTTTAGCGGGCATTCGTTTCCTCTCGTTCTTCCGCATGTTGACTGTGGCGACAAAAGTTTGGCACTGGGCTGCCCAAGCGAAAACGTTACTTCTGTTCACGCCAGCCACGTAGTGTATGGAGTGGAGGTGTTTTTCTCGAGAGCAACTTTCCCGGCGCAGAAGCCCTCCCGTCTCTGGCATGTGGGTGGCTTTTATCCGTTTCTTTTCGACGATATTGTTGAGAGTGTGCACGCACGTTTGCTAGCGTTTGTTTACTCTTGTAGCCGCAGCAGAAACCCCATTTTTTTTGGGGGGGGGGGACTTCGAAACGAAAAGGCTTTGGGGTGCCCACAACGATATAGCACTTGACGCGCGCACCTCCCGATGACTGTGGTGCGCGACCGGGGGTATATCCTCATGTACCTCTTTTGATCAAGCGCGGTCACAAAACGTTACGTGGGAGAAAGGGCCGTCGTTGTAAGTCACACGCACACGCATGCGCGCCCTTGAGAATTCTTGACCTGGCTCTTAGGAAAGGAAAGCACCCTGTGGGGCCCCCACGATTTTTTAGTCATCCCTGGTCTGTGAATGGATGTGGTGCGCCCTCACTGGGACGAACGCGTATATGTATGAAAAAAAAAAAAGAGAGAAATAAGAGAGTTATTAAGAACCAGTGGAAATCCCGCTTCGCCCCCTTCAAAAAAATGATTCTTGGCTATAACAATGGTTGCAGTCGGGAGAAGGACCACCGAGCAACAACACAAACGCACACACGTCGAAACGCAAAATATTCGTCGAAGAAATCGATCGAGCGGGGCTCAAGCGCGCCAGCCGAACGCCCGCGCACGTTGCACACACGCCCGCCCGCACAGCTGTCCCCGCCTCTCCACCAACACTGGAAACTTAAACGTACAAAAAGAAGCTATATATGATCCCCCCCCCCATCCCCCTCCCACCCATGCTCTTCCGCGCAAACCACCCGTGCTTCGATGCTCCCTCCTTTCCCCGCAACTGCTGGGGGGCCTCCGGTTTCCGCGTCGCCTAGCCCTCCTCCTCAACGCTGATGTTGCATCGACAGGCACCACCGAGTTTACTCTTTTCACGGAGCCAGCAGCCCCCCCTGCTGATTACTAATAGTTCCTTTCCGTGCCATGATTACGACGGAGGAGACTCTTTTTACGAGCCCGACACATGGTCCGCAGGGGCAACGGACGCCCGCCGCCACAACGCCAACAAATAATATCGAAACAATCACGAACGAGCACAGGCACAATCAACAAAGTTCAGCCAGTAAGTCATGTAACGTGGCACAATCCATTGGCTCGTCTGCATCCGCGTGGCAGGTGGCATGTACATGAAGCGAGCTCGTAAGGCAAAACGGGGGGGGGGGGGGGGGGGCGCGGCCTTGCGGGAGGGTGGTGGAAAACAGGGCAGTGCTATATTACAGTCTACCGCGCTCCATCTAAAACATTCAGTCTCATTTCAGAACACCAGCAACACAGTCCATCAACGGATGCGAGCAGGGACGAAGAAACGCACAAACTCCAGCACCCAGTAAAAAGCACACACCACCTTTTTGGGGAGATCCTTCGCCCATCGTTGCTTTTGGATACGAAAACAAAGCCGCCCGCGCTGCAGCGTTATTGTAGTAGATTTACAGAACAGAAGAGACAGGCACCCAAAGTGACCTGCTCTCTCTCTTTCTCTCAAGTCCTTCGACAGATCGTATTGTAATGGTCTCTCTTGCAGCCGATGCGCATTGTGTGTTGCATCCCAAAGAGAGCGAGAGGCGACACAAGCCCTAGACACCGAGACAGAGAGAAGGAAGGAAAGCAGCGCCAGGCAGTCCATCCCTCCCCCGCCACACAACGAGAATGCTACTGGACACATGATGAGGCCCGATCGGCTCGGTCGCCCCCCCCCTCCCCCCCC